GGGACATTCGTCTCCGACTGCCTTGCCGCAAGCTGAGTCCCCGCTATATTGGACCATTCACCATCAGGAGGCAGATCAACGACGTCACCTACAGGCTTGAACTCCCTTCTCACTACCGTATCGCACCTACCTTCCATGTCTCTCTACTCAAACCCTGTTTTAACCCTCTGTCTGCTTCTCCCACAGGGTCTGACGAATCCCGCTTACTTCCTCCTCCCGAGATCGCTGAAGAGGAAACTATCTACCGAGTCAATTCTCTTCTGGACTCCCGGTGTCGAGGCGGCCACCTGGAATATCTCGTGGACTGGGAGGGATTCGGCCCCGAGGAGAGATCATGGGTGCGTAGAGACGATGTTCTAGATCCCTTACTCCTCAGACTTCCATGATCGTCCCGCTCTCCGGGGCTGCGGCCGTCCTCAACATCGGCAGCGGGCGTCGGGAGTCGCCCGTGGCCCTGTTTACCTTTATCTCTCCGTTTTGGTCTCCTTCTGTACTGTGACAGTAACATAGTTGCCTAGACAACAGATACAACAAAACAATAACAGACATATCATAACACAGATTCTTTTAATTGATTAACGTTCAAAACTCAGCTATTATCAATTAAAATAATGTATTTATAATAATAACAAAAATAAATTAAGTTAAAACTCAGCCATCTTGCAGCTCAGAACTTGATTCGAAATTGTGTGCGATACCTCGAGTTGTCCTAGAGAAGTTGCACTTCTCATCCAGTGTGTGACCCTTTTTACCCTAACTGACCAAGTAAAAAATCAGGGCCTCTCCTTCAGAGAAGCTTACTATGTCAATAGTGTTGCACTATGATTGTTGATAGTACAGATTTTTAGTCCTCCTGGGACAACTTCTGTTATTTACTGTAAATGTCCAAACATTTTTTCAGAATATAAGTTTGAGAATATTCAGGTGGACAATCGGGATTTTGTGAATGGAACAGGAGCATTGTTGACATGGTGGTCCAGAACAACATCACCAGCCACAAAGGAAGAGGCCTGTGGAGATGAAACTTACCAAGCATGGATTCAATGTGTGATTTTTTTTATTTTTATTATAATTTTTTTTTGTGGGCAGAGTGGGCCAAAACTCTGTAGAAGGCTGATCTTAAGTTATCAGAAGCATTGCTTTGAAGATTTTGTTGCTAAACGTGGCACAATCAGATTTTAATTACCTTTATTTTATAGTTTTATAGTATATGATTTTATAGTTTTATTTGTTTGGGTGATAGATGTTGGATAAATGTGTATTTTCATTTGTGTATTTGTGCATCTATAGCTGAATATGTTTATAATCGACAGAGAAAACACCTATAGTTCTGATGTTAATATATTTACTTTTAATAAATGCATTATTATAAAAAAAATGCAGTGCTTCATTTTGCAGTAAAGTTGAACTGTTTGGTCAAGATATGCCTGTGTTTAGATGGCTGTGTTAATTGTTTTGAGAGCAATTACATTACTTAAAAGAAAAATGTCAAATCAATTGAGAAAAACTGTAACAGCTTGTGCCAGCACAAACCCATTTTCGGTGAAAAAAACCAGGACATGGAGCACATGGGGAACAAAACACAAGAGACAGAAACAGAGTCTGACAAATATTAAGAGGATTTAGCATTTCAAATTAATGCAGACCTGTTACATTCTTCTTATTATTAGGCCTATTATTACTAGGTTACTTTTATTATTAAATTATCTATTATTATTAAATTACATTAAATTATTGCCCCGCAGTAATTTCATAGCACATTCAAAGCATTACGCGCTGTAAGGATAATTAAAGTTTAGGCTATTAGCTTCCTCATTGAAAATGTTTTTAAAAAGTTTTTTTTTTAAACAGGTCTATTAATTTATACAATGTATTATAGACCTATAATTAAAATTATTAATAATGCAGTCATCAATAAAAATTAAGAGCAGCTTTATTTCATGCACCGATTTTCAAAAACAACCTCTTTAATGAGAAATACGTTTCTTATGTTTTTCACTATACGGGACACAAGAGAAATATTAAGGAATAATTTAAGACAGTTATATACCGTTATCAGCATATGTTGAAGTAGTTTCGTCTCTCGTTGTCTCAGAGAATGTGCCGTTCATGCAGCGTTAGAAAGCTCCGTCAGTTTTTTTACTTTCACTTTCTCTATTGACTGACGTTCACCGGCATAACTCTTGCGCACAGTTTGCGCGTTGCTTGCTTGTGTTGCTTTACCCCTCCCCCATATTAGGTACTTTTTTTTAGGTTTTTTAATGTTGATTTTTTTAATGTTAATGAAAGTGACACTAAAAAACAGGAACATTATTAGGAAATCCTTGGGGTGCTGTGCCGGGGCTAAGCAAGTTTCTGATGGGGCTATAGCCCCGTCAAGCCCTGCCCTAGCGTCGCCACTGCCCTGAAGATATAAATGTAAATGTGCCAATGTTTGATTACACTGGCTGTTCTATGTATCGTGGCAGTTCGAATATGAAATATATTCATTTGAAATAATGTTCAAATATGAACCATTAACTGTTTGTCACAACACACACACGAGGAATACAGGAACTAAGGAGCGAGGAGACGAGGAATATACGTAAACAGTCTTTAATCCATGGGAAACAGGGTACATCAACACTGGAGACGTATGGAAGAGAAGAAAAGGGAAAACAAAAGATGACTAAAAACGGAAATAAAAACACGGGAGAAGGGGTGCCGCTTACTGGGCCTCATTTACGAAACGAACGTACGACAGAAAATTGGGCGTACGGTCGTTTCAACGCAAAACGTGGAATTTATCAATATGGACGTGAGCGGTGGCTACGATCAAATCTCACGTCTGGTGTCAGCTCGTGTACGCAAGTTTTTGAGTTACCTGAACTTGCGCAGAGCATAGTAAATACGGTGGAGAATTGTAGATTGACAGCATTTTGTTCATTTTTATATTCCTGACCGTCAAACGAAGCTCATTAGTCGATCGTTAACCAGTAAGATTAGAATGTCTTTTTTGTTGTTGTTTTGTACAGGGCTTTAGCTTTATATGCGCGAATAGCAGCATAAGCGACCATGAGGATTCAATCATCACATCATGCACCTGCAGCGCTTCTGTGAAAGGAGAAAAACAGAAATTAAGTTTATAAAAGGAATAAAATCAATAGGATCACACAAAATATATAATAGGCTAATTAAAAGATTAACAAAAGGGGGAAAAAATACTGTGCTACAAGTATAGGCTAAGCTCATTTTTGTGACACTCTTAATGCATTTAATTTATTTTCTTTATATCTTTATTTGATTTAATCCATCTGATCCCACAGGCGCCTCACGCACACACAAACAACATTAGTTCTAGCGTTGCCTGACATTTCAACCATTCATCATCAAACTAAAATGCAGTCAACCAAACATAAAAGTAACACTGTTTATTTTAAAAGATCCGCTGTAAAATCAGCGTGCAGCGCCCAAACAATAAACATTTGGCATACGAATGTTTCATGAATCACACGTGAACTCTGTCGTAAGTTGATTTGTGCGCACAGATCTGCACTCGTTTCTACGTTAGCTTGATAAATGAGGTCCACTGTCTTGGTCGGGTCTTCTGTCACGACACACACACAAGGAATACTGGAACTAAGGAGCGAGGAGACGAGGAATATACGTAAACAGTCTTTAATCCATGGGACACAGGGTACATCAACACTGGAGACAGTAGGAAACACATCCACGTAACGAGTAGACCTGACAAACGGACAACAGAACAGGAAGAAACTAATTACAAGGGATAATTACAAACACAGGTGAACGCAATAAACAATTAACTAAACAAGGACAGGAAAATGACCAAATATGGAAACACATGAAGGCACACGAGGAGCAAAACACGGACCAGAGTCTGACACTGTTAAATGTATTTTGTGCACACTGGAAAACTTAATGATTTTGTGCCACAGGTATATATGTTTTACTAATATGTAATTGAATATGAGAAATGTCATTTACATCTCATCCAGCAGTTCTTTAACTTCAGATATTTAACTTCAGATCTTCAATATCTTAATGCAAGACATTTCAAATGAATATATTTAATTTTCAAACTGCCACAATACATACAACAGCCAGTGTAATCAAACATTGGCACATTCACATTCATCTCTTCAGGGGGAAACATAATGCACATTTAAGGCCTCTCCCTGGATATTTCACTTTGAAAGTGCAGTAAAATATGCAAGAAACAACGAAATGTCATTTTGCAGAAATGCCGTAGTAGGGATGGAAACTTGTCAGCTTTCGGCAAAAAATTCTGTTTTGAATCCAAAATAGTTCATCTGTGTGATGTGTAGATCCAAGTTTTTGAAAATGGGGGATGTTTTTTTTTTTTAGTTCAGTAAAAACCAAAACCATGGAGTCTACCAGTCTACAAATCAACACAATCGAGAGTCTTGCTGCTCTTGGCAACAAATGCTATGAATCAGTTTTCCCTATTGGGTTAATGAAAAGAAGACTCATATAAACCCCACATTAAAAGATAAGGGCCATAAAATGTTTATACAGACAACTGTGTGACTAAATCATTGTAAGGAGGATCTTAAGGAGACTGAGGCAAGATGCAGTATTTACATTTAAATGTTAACATTAATGTTTATAGACTGCTATCAACTGATATTTCTTTACATAAGGCAACATTTTGTTTGTGCATCTATAAATCAGGTACCTTGTGAACATATGTAGTTAACGTTTTTCTTTATTGCTTTTGTTTTGTTTTTTATTACTGTCAAGTTTTTACTTTTTTGAGTATTGTTGTCAGGTTATGTACTGTAGTAACAGCAAGCAATGTATATTGTAAAACATGCTCTACATATGAAGTTGTACATGTTAAAATCAGGCACAATACAATGGAAGGGCTTTATTTTGAAAAATGCAATATATTAAATTAAACAATTCAAGTAAATATATTATTAATCAATGTGATATCTGTTTGTTACTGTGTTTGCAGTTCTTGTGTACAACAAGCAATGGACAACCTCACATTTAGACACAGCATTCTCCTTGTGGAGGGACTCAAAGTTACACATCAGTCCTCCTACCCTGTTTTTATTGTGCTTTTCTTAGCTTATATTTTTACAATTGTATCAAACATTACACTTATATTTATGATTTCAACAGAGAAGAATCTGCATGACCCTATGCATTTTCTGTTCTGTAACTTGCCAATAAATGATGTAATAGGAACCACTGTCATTTTGCCACGCTTAATGCAAGATATTTTGAGAGAAGCCTCAGAGCGTTATATTACATATATGGAATGTGTTATTCAAGCTTATTTTGTGCATGTATTTACAGCGGCATGTCACTATGTGTTAATGATCATGGCCTTTGACAGATATGTGGCTATATGCAATCCACTGAGATATTCTGCTATAATGACCAATAAAATGGTTATTAAACTATCAGCATCAGCCTGGGGGCTGGCAGTACTTGTGGTGACAATTATGATAGGTCTGACTCTTCGTCTGTCTCACTGCAGATCAACAATTGAAAACCCTTTCTGTGATAATGCCTCACTTTTTAAACTGTCCTGTGAAAATGTAGCTATTAACAACGCATTTGGAGTTATTTATTCCGTAATTGTAGCCTGTCTGTCAGCAGTGTCTATATTTATAACATATGTCAATATTGCTGTTCTGTGTATAAGGAGCAAAAACAAAGCACTCAACAGCAAAGCCATAAAAACCTGTAGCACCCATTTAGCTGTTTATTTAATCATGTTTATTTCTGGAGCCATTTTTATTTTTCTTCATCGTTTCCCTGAATACTCTGAAAGTAGAAAACTAGGTAGTATAATGTTTCACATTATTCCACCAGGATTAAATCCCTTAGTATACGGTTTACAAACCAAAGAGATAAGACATAAGATTGTTAAAGTTTGGAATAGAAAAATAGGGAATTCTTGAATTTATTATTGAATTTTATAACATCAATTTGACTGAAAAGTCTATATTATACAGTAATGTATTATGTATTGTATGTGTTATTTTCTTCAGTGATAGAAAATGTATTGTCAATAAAACATGTTTTTAATTATTTAATTATTATTAATAATTTAATTATTTTTTTAATTATGTGCATTAATCTTACACTTGATTTTAACTGGAAATATATGTAGCCAGGAAATTAAGTTTTTCTCTTTCTTTTTCCGCTTAAAGACAAATATGAGCATACTGACACTGGAACATTATTTGGACAGTACTTATGTGAAAGTGATTTAACAGCGTGAACTCAACAGATAAACGTTTAAATTTGACTTTAAAATATTTTATACCGAATATATACAACAGTTATTTTATGGAAAAACTACATCCCTATATGTTTGTTCCTATTCCTCCATACATAATATCTTGAATTATTGTATATTGTAGGGGTTTCTAGCATGTACAGTCTTCAAATCCCTCTGCAGACACATTTGATCTAAACATGATCGGACCATGAACTTCGATTACCAGACTACTTTATGGAGGACTGCTGTTTACATTAGGTGTTAGCTTCCTCTAAATTTATGCTCTACTAATTTGTACTTAACTCTCTTCTTTGGTGCAACAAATGTGGACGTGTAGTAGGTTTTTCCAATGGCATTTCTGTTTAAGCTGCACAAACTATTACAAAATGCAAATTCCAAACTCAAAAAAAAAAAAAAAAAAAAAAA